GGGGGAGCAGGCAGAGGCTACTCCAATACTGCCAAGACTGCTCGTGAGCTGCACGTCCACATTCCCACTGCCTCCAGGCCAGCTCTGCCTGGCTATATACAGCCATCAATCCCTCGCCCCCTCCAATGGTCCCATCAGACTCAGAAGTAGCACAGTGTTAACAGCTAAGAGGCTAGATTCTGAGGGCAGAATGCCAGGGGCGGCATCCCATTCTCCAAGGGTGCACTGGCTTACCTGAGGCACGAAGTCAGGCCCCACAAGGGTCTCCCTGGCTCTAGGACTGACCCTCCAACCCCACTGGGTTACCACAGAGATTCACCAACACTCTCTCTGCTTATTCCCTGCTTTGACTTTTAAATGATGGAGGTTCACTACACTCAGTCTACCTTTCTATGTAACACTTTACATTTCCTTTAAATTAAAAAATAACTTTTAGTGCCCCCCAACACCTGTAAAATTAAAAAAACAAAAACAAAAAACAGTTTCAAGCTGTATAGTTAAAAGATCTAGCTGGACAAAAAAGCCACTTATTCAAAACGTCACTCCAGGTAAATAGTTCTGAGAGGTTCCCAGAGGGCTCCTTTAGGGAAATGCCTAATACATCTCAGGACAGAAAAGTCTCTTGATCCATAATTCAAGGTGATGTGAAAATTTAAAAGATAACGAAAGGTCCACGCCAGGACAGCCACTATCATCAGGTGTAACTCCCACTGAGAGACAAAGGAAGGGCACACCCCAGGTTCACTCGCCAGGGGTAAGCTATCACTGACAGGGGGCACTGCCCCTCAAAGGAGCCCCTTTGGGATTTCATGAGAAGAGAAAAGGTAACAAGACCCCTGCCCCATAATCTCCTCCCCCACCACACATTCTCCTACTGCCCCCAAGTCTTGTCAGAAAGTCTATTTTTTCAGATCACAGAGCTCGGTAGCAGTATGCCTACCTGCGAGGGCTTGCTGGACCCTGCTGGGCTTCGGCATCTGCACGGGCACAGTGGCAGGGATGCTCCCAGGGCTGCTCACAGGACCACTGGGGAGGGAGGCACTAGGGGAAAAGAAAGAGCAAAGTTTAGTGTGCGGAGCCAACTTAGCAAAAACGAGAGCCCAAGAACAGGTGCTTCTGTGTGAGTGAGGGCTTCTGCTTTTTATTCTTTTGCTTTTTAATTAAAGATCTTGATGAAGAGTATCTGGAAAGAGGAGCAAAGAAATCTGAATTTCACCACTCTCAGACCCAAACTAACCTATAGAATCTGAAGCCCAGAGTCCAGCTCACCATCACTTCCTCTGCAAAAATCAAGTGACGAGAGTCAAACTCCAAGCTAGGCGTTGGATAGGAAGGAATGGCAGGCAGGGGCCGCTGGGGTATGAGGTCTCACCTTTTTACGAGGTATCAAGAATGAAGATTTAACTGTCAAAAAATGTTTTCCTGGGCAATCTGGAGACTGTGAAGACGAATTTTGAGCTCACTAGCTTCATCAACATGAACTATTGAGGGAAAATATGGCAGAAACCCCTCTAACAAGTGATCAAGACCAATGTCTCCAGTAACATGACCAATAAGTATCAGAAGCCCCAAGAAACGATGCTCTGAGAAGGACACTGAGAATATAGTCTTCCTGCCAAGACTGTATATTTTCAGTCCAAATCATGAGAAGAACACATCTGACAAACCCAAACGAAGGGATATCTGACAAAGTAACTCATGAAAAAGTGTCAGAGTTCTGGAAGACAAAGGAAGACCAAGGAACTGTCACAGATGGGAGGAAAAGAACTGACAACTGGATGCAAAGTAGGGTCCTACGGGATCCTGGGACAGAATAAGAACAATGGTGGAAAAACTGGTGAAAATAGTACTGCGCCAATGGTAATTCTCTGCTTCAGAAAACTACACTATGGTTATGAGAAAGGAAATAAGGCAACTCTCTGTACTATTTTTATAACTTTTCTGTAAATCTAAAATTGTTCAAAATAAAGGGTTTTTTTTTTTTTTTTTTTTTTTTAAATGAGGGTCTTGTTTCTCATGGTGACTATGTTCAAGTCACTCATTTGGTTTTAGGCCATTGTGCTCTTAAATGATAACAAACCCATGCCACTATGGTTGGGGAAAGCCCTGCACTGGAGAATAGTTGGTATAGATGGCCCGAGATGACTGCCAACTCCTTGCACTCCTGATTCCTGCATCCTCCTGTCCATCCCTGCCCATGTTAAAGATGATGAAATAGGAACAGTTAGGAAATCCTTCCACATAGTCCCTACACTGGAGCTCCCCAAGGACAGGGCCTAGGCACATTTATCTCTGTTCTACTGACTCCTGTCTGGGAGCCAGGAATTGGGAAGGTGCTCATGAAACGATGGACGGCTCCAGTCCACTGTGCTACCCTTATAGCTGCCAGCGAACCAATAACTTGGCAGCTTACAATAAATGCTTCTAGAAGCTGCCCCACATCCTTCCCTACCACCAGCCACAGGTCATAGATCCTGCCTGTAGAAACTACTGGGAGCTGGCTGGTTCTGCTCCAAACCAGAAAACCTCACACTCAGCTGGTGCTGAAACTGCCAGGGCCTCGCACAGGGTCTGGAGCACAGCAGGTGCTCTGGTATCTGTCTGAGCGAAGAAAGGTCGTTTTGTTTTCATTTCTGGATTGTTCTCCCCAAACAGAATAACCTGTGTGGCTGTGCTACTCAAATAGCAGCTTCTTGTTCTCCTGGTCTACTCTCAACCCCAAGAGAACAATGGAACTGGACCTGGAATGCTCTAATGCCATGAAAGGAATGTGTGTTCAGGACACCTGGGCTAAGGTTTTGGCCCGCGAAGCTCTGTTTAATTTGGAACAAACTCCACCCCCACCCCCACCCCCTACCCCACTTTTTGAGCCTCTTCCTCCATTTTTTTTAAAGGTAGATAGTCCAACAGTCTTTGCAATTCTCAGGTTCTATAAGCGAAGAAATTTGAGAAGATATAGCCCTTCCAGGCATCTTTCATCTCTCAAGCTACCTCTCCAGAGAGCACTGAGCTTGAGCCCTTACCTAGGAAGCCAAAAAGCTGAAGCCTGGCTCTATAACTATACAAAATTAGTGGGCTACTCAGCTGGCTTGGCACCACTGGCCCAGAGGGGCTCCAAAAACTGGGGTCTTCCTTTGCCAAAGGAAGGCACAGACCTGAGGGAGAAGGCCTAGTTTTAGGTCCCACAAACTAACACAGAAAACACACACACAATGAGGCTTCCAGTGAGGAGCTCACCCCAGAACTGAAATCAGGAACCATGACTAAGTTAGGGGTCTCCTGATATGGCCACTTCCCCTATGCCTCATCGTAGCACCTCTCCACATTTTCCTGTGATCAGAAGGAATGGAGCAGAAAAAGGATCCAGTGGTTCCCAGACTGGGACTCTCAGGGGTGGACAGAGCCTTGGAGGTCACTGATCCCCTTCACCACCCTCAAAGGGCTCAGACTAGCAGAATGTTCCCATGTGAAGCACCACGTGCTCCATGAAGTATCCTTCTTTAAGAATTCCCTCTCCTGCTTCAGGCCTCTCTCTCTGCCTCCCTGGTTCCTAAGTCTACCTACTAGGCCCTACCTGCCTTTCCTGTCTAGGACCATCTCCAGGAGCTTCCAAATGGAGCTGAAAACATGAGGCATAAGGACTGCTAGTTTTCTATGCAGACAGGACTTGATAGTTCCAGGCAAGTGGCAGCACTAGGAGACAGGAGAGTAAGGAAATGCAAGGTCTCCCTCCAGCTCCTCAGAGGCCAGCAAGCCAGCACCAACTAGGGGACTTCTGAGTGTGTGTGCAGTACAAGGAACATCAGATGTGGAGTGTGGACACCCCACTTCCAGCACCTGCTCCCGCTTAAAGCTGTGTGCTCTCAGTCATGTTGAATCCCCTTTCTGAGCTTTAATTTCTTTACCTGTAGGATGAGAATAATTCCAGAAGGCCCCCAGGGTGGTTGTGAGGCTCAATCTAAACCCCAATACAAATGTCCGTTGTTTCTCAGGTCTCAGAAGAGCAAAGTGGATACAAGAAAGCTGAAGGGCTAGGGGCACCTTCCTGTAGGGCCCTCTCTAAACCCTGAAACCCACAGCAACATCAGAGCAAAAGGAAACTTCAGAAACTGACAAGCCCAACTCCTTAATCTTAAGAGGGGAAAAGAGTGACCTGGAAAAGGAATAGAGCTGACCCAGAGGCCTGCAGTGAGTTAGGCATTAGGCCCCACCTGGAACCCAGGACTCCAAATCAAGCAATCCTGAAGAAACTGGCCAACAGCAGGAGGGAGTGGGGTGCCTTTAGACAAAGGGAGAACAGTAGTGAGAACAAAGCAGATGAAAGCAAACCACAAGAGCCATTTAGCACAGGGACGAAGAGCGCCAAGGCATATAGCCACCCCAGAGCTGCAATAGACTGCTGTTCATAATCACCACCCCAAGTCATTAAAATGCTCAACAAGCTGGCACACCCTCTATTAAAGAAGAGCATGCATGACACATGTTGGAAAGTTTCCCATACAACATCATTAAAACACAAGTTTCTGTGCTTAAAGGGATAAACTTCAGCTACCAGGAAATTTACTCAAACCCAGCAGCTCAGTGACAAATGATGTACCTTCTCAGCAACAAACAAAAAACAAACAAACAAAAAAAACAAATGATGAACCTTCTCAACGTATTACTACCTACTCAGAAAGCCTCCCGGTGCACAAGGAAGTCAGCCAGCCAAGGTTTTACCCTGATTAAGAAGTGATTTGAAACCACATGGCTTCCACAAATTTTGATTTTACTCACTCACGTGTTCTTTCCAGTGGCTATCAGTAACACAGCCAGTTCTCAGGCTTCCCCAGCCCGTGGTACTACCTGCCCTGTTGTTTTCTCCTCTCCTCCATATACATGGTAACTTTCACCTAATGCTGTTGGCATTCGTTTGGCTTGGAGAACTGTACCTTGGCTTCTAGGGAGACCAAGTTTGCCGAGTGTTTTCAATCCTCCCAGCCCTGCTGGGTTAGGAGGTCAGCTATTTATTAAGCCCCCTCTGGCTCTACAACACCCATTAATGAGAGAAGAGTTAACTGAAGAGGGCTCCACTACAAATTAGATACAGGAAAATCTTGTTTTTCAAAGCAGGGATAGGCCCATGAAAGTGAAGTATACCCCTCCCAGCTCCTGAAAAGCTGTAGGAGATAAAGATGAACATCCACCTTAGAAGGCAGGTCCCTTTGAGGCTGTTTCAACCAACAAAGCTGGCTGGCCTGGTTCCCTTCTGGCTTACAATTCAGGGCAAGCAGCAACATGCATAGCCCAGCAGCAAAGTTAAGACAGTGTTGCCCAAAAGCTTTTCCTTCAGTAACTTGCCTGGCCTGTACCAGTAGGGCCCATATCAACAGTCTCTCAGGCCTCAGGCTGGGGAGGGGAGACCAGTGGGAGCCCTATACTGGGAGAAAGCAACCAAGCCTATGAAGTTGCCTGGCTTAATCCCAGAATCCCAGTTCTAGAAACATCTAGAAATATGCCTCGAAATAATTTGTAAGAATTTAAGAGGCCCAGGAGCCTAGGAAAAGCTGACCTAATAGAAGCCCTGTTGATAATTATTCTGGACTTGCAAACATAGCATGCTTTTCTCTAAGAGACTGAACGAGATATTGGAGGGGGCCTCACAGGGCACTGGGTGGGACTGGGCTAGCACACAGTCCTGCTTGCTTATTCTATGTGAAAGTCCACAAAGAAGGCCCAAGTGAAACCTCCCCATACTCCCATTTCCCAGAACAACTTCAGATCCAGAAGAAGATGCCCAGGAAGATGCACTGACCCATTTGGGGCCCATCCCTCTCCTGTCTGCTGGACTCACAATGCCTTCTGTCTTCATCTCATTCTGCCTTTGAGAGCTTCAAGAACTCCACATGTCCCATAAGGCCTGCTCTGGGGCCTGGGTTTAATGCTAGCTCTGCCATTTGCTGGCTGTGCTGCCAAACTCATCAGCCTCAATATGCTCACCTGTGAGCTGAGACCACCACCCACCATATGGCCATTATGAGTATAATGAAATCACTTAACAGCCTGCTCAATGGGGCCAGCTATGTGTGCTCAGTGAATGGCAGCTGTAGCTGTCACTGTTTCTTATACAAACTGGCAAAGTCCTCTGAAACCTAGCTTGAAAAAATGCTAGAGACCCAAGAAGCTGCTGAGGTCTCAACCATACTAGGAAGCTTCAGCTCTCATTGTGGTCAAGTGGGCAATGATGGGGCTCGGTGAGCAAGGCAGCACCAAGATGCTGACTGGCTGACATCAGTGCAAATCAACAAGATGCTGACTCCCTAGGAAACAGGGCAGCCACGAGCCCACACCTCCAGTCACTACCTGCCCAAGTCACCCTCTCTCAGAAATCAGCCCCCATCCCACTGCCACTCTAAAGTCTCAAAATGTTCTCTAAATCCAACACTCTCAATAACGATCAATGACAAGGCCCTTGTCAGTGACAAGTCTCGGAGCACCCTGGGAGCAACCTCCACTGGGACACTCCAGGAGCTTTCCTCGCTTTAAAGTGCTACCTGGTCTGGATGGGACCTATTCCATCACCTTTCTCAAAGTGCAGTGAGCTGTTAGACACCAGGCTGGATTACATCAAATATGTTGTCACCTGCTGTCACCACCTCCACTCTCAACATTTTGCTCTCTCCACAACCAATGTTTAAGCACCTAAACTGAGCTCACAACCTTCCTTTGGACAAGACCGTGGGCTTAGGGAGGGGGCTGAACCTTCCATGCCTGTGTCCTCAGTGCTTGGCACACTGGAATCAATAAAATGTTCCCAGGCACATGGCACCAGCTACATGGCACACAGGCATAAACAAAAGGTGGTTAACTGCTCTACACAGAGCCTGATTCTCCTGAGCGAATGCAGGGATTATTGGTTTTAACCCATGTGGCAACTACCAGCACTCAAGTCCCAGAGGTTAGGTAGGGTCCGTGGAATGCAAGGCTGTGGACAGCTGTGGCATCACATGACACAAAGGAGACAACATGGCGGGGACAACCAGGTGCAGGTACTGCGATGAGTCTTCCCAACTAAGTTAAAGGACTGAAGTCTGCTGACAAGGCACAAGGATAGATAAAACGATCTTCAAAAACACAAGATACCTGGCTCCACTGGTAGTGGATGATCCTGGGGGCTGGTGCGGTGGTCCCAGGTGGGAGAGGCTGGAGCAGTAAGGGGACTGGTTCCCCAGGGAGGGCGGTGCCCCACCCCAAGGGTTGGTGGTATTCAGCCTGGGTGCAGACCTAGCTCCAGAGAGTGAGGGCTTATTGTATGGGGCAAAGGCCTGGTGGGCCCCAAAGACAATGGCGGTCCTGTGTGGGGGCTGGGGGACAGGGTATGCAGGGAGGCTGGTCATGGAGTGGCGGTAGCGGCCTGACACGGGGCCAGTTCCACCGCCACTGAGGCACTGATGGCAAGAGCAGGCAACTCCTGTATGGCCTGGTGGAGCAATGATGGTGGTCACCGGGTAAGGGGGCCCTGCTTGGCGCCGCACACTACGGCAAAAGCTTGAAGTCTTGTTGGTCTGCGTGTAGGTGGCATAGTTGACGGTGTAGTTGTATCCCAGAGGCGCCAAGTCTACGAGCTGGTTGCCCCTGGCCACCTGCTGCTCCAGATAGTCACAGACGCTGGCTTCATAGGGTGTCCAGGAGCCATCATCACTCAGCCACTCCCAGACAACGCCCCGGCCTGGGGCTGAATGCTGGGGGAACAGGTGCCTCCGCACAGCCCTCATGGTGCCTGTTTTAAAAGGAGTATTACACATAAATGGTTAATCTGCTAGCCCCCCCAAAACAAAGGGACTTTAAAAATTCTTTTTTTTCTACAATCAAATAAACCAATACAGGTCATGGTGCCATCTGCCCTAAAGGTAGCATTGGTTATTCTTTCCAAATTTTGGGTGAAGGATAAAGAGTTCTCTTTAGGTAAAGAAGCTGTGGCCCAAAGGGATTAAGTGGCAGCAGAGGATCCATGCTCCTAGGCAGGAGTGAGGAATGCTGGAAGATTGGGTCAAAGAACGGCTGTCGCTCAGACTTAATGAGACTTTTAAAAATATTTTTAATGGTGAGACTGATATAGCCTCACTTAAAAAAACTAAAAACAAAAAAGTATAAAGAACATTAAATCATCCATAATCCAACCACCAAGAAAAACACAATTTATATTACAATGCATTTCTCCCCATCTAGTCTTTCAGGCACATACATTCAGGGAGCTGAAAATCATACTGAAAAACTTTTCCTGCTATTTTCATGTATTATGCCATAAGTACTTCTTATGTCTCTAAAATTCTGTAAAACTCATTATTAATTGTTACATAATTCTCTAACATGGATGTATCATTCCCTTTGACTCCACAAGTAGCAACTACTGGATAACACCCTATAGTTAGCTTATATTCTTAATAAAATCGAACTTTAAAATTAAGAAGAAAAAGAAAAAATATCAATTTGGGTCATGACTCCAATAACACTTGCCAAAAGATGATCACTGCAATTATGTCCACTTGGTCTCCCGACCTTAGCCCTTGTCTCCATCCACAGCAGCCAGAGAAATACTCTTAACCCCAAATCAGATTACACCATTCCTCTGTTCAAATCCTTCCATGGCTCTTTCAGAATAAAAGCAGTCCCTTCAAGGGACTGAAAAGCCTTGTATAATCTACCCTTCCCTCTTGTTCTTCCTTTAGGCCTGTCTCCATCCCTTGTCAGTGCTGCCCAAGTTCAAACTGCAAAATGACCTCTCTGACTCTTTACACTTCCACTCTCTGATTAACACTTACTACTATCTAAATTAAATCCTCCATAACTCAACCACAATACACAGTTTACACATTATTCATCTTATTTGCTGCCATTCTCAGTTGCCTGCAAACATCATGAAAGCAGGGACTTTTATCTGCATCCAACTCATTGGAAACCTTAGTCCTCACTTGCCTGAGGATGCTGTTTCAGGGATCAGAGCAGGGTTTCTCAGTCTCAATATGTGACGTTCTGGGCCAATAATTCTTTGTTGTGGGGCCAGTCCTGTGCATTGTAGGATGTTTAACAGCATCTCTGGCTTCTACTCACTAAATGCCCCTAGCATGTCTTCTACCCACTAGATGCCAGTAGCACCACACTCCACAGTCAGGAGAATCAAAAATGTCTCCAGACATGGTCAAATGTCCTGGGGGACAAAATCACCACTGGGTTAGAGGTTCTGGGCACAGCTCTGATGGGAAGTTGGTGGCCCCATTCTCAGCAATACTGGTCAAAACATATAATAAAACCAAACTTGAGTGCACAGAAGAGTGATGTAACCTACCCAGGTCACACAGCTATGGCACACTGGAGCCAGAACTCATTGCCAGGCTTTTAACTATCAAGGCACACCACCTCTATGCTTGCCTCCTGCCAGTGAGCCTCAAATTTTGGTAAACGGAGGCACACATTTTTGTTTTGGGAGACAAGGGGGAAAGGGACTGGGAGGGCCTCTACATTGGGCTCCCAAGGCACCCTCTCCTACCAAGAGGTACAGTAGGTAATTTCATTAAAATGCTGATGAGATGCCATAGGAACTTAACTCTAGTTTATATCAATTACCCTGTGGTAAAACTGGTTTCATTATACATCATTCCACTTAAAGCCACAGAACCTATCAATAATGTTAGGTGAGATTTACTGTACATCTCACATTGTGCGGTACCTGCCCTCAGGAGCAGTACCTGCCTCCCAATGGTGCACATTTCAGGGGCAGAACTAAGCTCTGAGAGTCAATTTTGTAACCCCAACACCTAGCATGGTGCCTAGCCTAAAGCAGGTACTTAAGACACATACTAGAAGCAAAACGGGTCTTACCAGTGTCCTGACGGAACTGAGTCCAGCTGGGTAGGTCAATGATATAAGGGGCCAGCGAGGGATCAGCTTGGCCTAAGGGGATGCTGTGGGCCAGGCTCCCCAGCCCAAAGCGCTGGCCCTTCTGCTGGACAAACTGCTGCTCAATGTAACTACAGACAGTGGCACTGTAGGGGTGCCAGATGCCCAGCCCATCCTGCCATTCCCACACAGCCACTGCCACAGGGCTGGTGTACGCCTGAGCCAGGGAAGGGCTTGGGGCCATGGCCATCTTCTCCAGGACTCCCTCTGCTTTCCCAAACGGCTTCAGACCACTCTGGGCTGCAGTCTCTGGTTCATTGCCCAGTGCTTCCAGCAGATCTGTAAACAGGACAAATAAGTAGTTACTGACGCACACAGTGACTCTGCCAGAGTGGGCTTCATGCTGTTCCACGGTCACTTTTTTTCCCTATTACCTTAAGGGTATCATGAATCAAGTACCTGCTCCTGTCTCTTTGCTCAGGCAGCAAGGAAAAATTCGGTCAGTCGAGCAGCATATCTACCTCTGCAAATGTTCAGGAAGATACAGTCAAGTGAATTTTGGGTGCTAATCATCAGCCCAGCTTCTGTCCTCTTACCAATAATTTTCCTCTTACCCACTATTAAGTGTATCCTTTTATACTGTATATATTTTCATGAGTCACCAAATCCCTCATGGATTGAGGCCATAACCCCTTACACCTGTGTGAGGATTCAACAGTTTCCAAAGCAGGTTTGTTTGTGAGAACCAAACAAACTACATGATGAGAAAAAACTGTCTCAGAAAGGACCAAGGCTCAAGGACACCCAGGGGCTCAATGGTAGAGTTGAGACAGCACGAGTCCTAGCTCTGCCAGGGTCTCCAGGCTGCCCCAGAAGGCATCGTTAACCAAGAAAGATGCCCTCAATAAAAATTAAAATCTCCTGGCTACTGAAACCTGGCCTCTCTGCATCCCACTCCCTATGCCTGGGCCTTGCTGACCAGCAGTCAGGTCCAGAGAGTTTACACACATTTCTCAACACATTCTTCTCCCAGTCACTCCAGCCCATGCCCTTCCCTTCTACACTCTACTCATCCTTCAGGCCTAGCCTGCCATTCAGAGAGGCTTTCCCTGGCCACCCAGCACATGAACTTCTCCTTCATAGCACCACCCAGAACTCTACGCCCATATACACATATGGGCATGATGATGCTCTGTGTTTGCCCCCAGCCACCCAGCAAGTCTGCCCTGTCCACAGCTGTACTGCTGCCCTAGCATAGGCCTTGTCATGTTGTGTGATGCACGTGTTCAAAACATAGCTGAATGGAAGTGAACGATGGTTCTATGCACCTACAGCTGTTTGAAGGAGAGAAGTCTGTGAATGCACTAAATCGTGGTCCCCCAGAGCACTAGCTCCTAGAGTGCGAAAGGAATGGAACCAACATTTAGTAATAAACACCAAATGTACTTGTCTCATTTAAGCCTAAGAGACTGACATGGTGGTATTTCTCCCACTTTATGGACAAGAAACCAAAGCTTAGAGATGTCAAGGTCTTACTGAAGGTCACACATATACTGCTAAGCAGCAGCACAGACAGCAAAACAGGATCAATCTGGCTCTGATGCTCATTTTCTTAAGAAAGTTCAACATGAACTCTATACCTTGGGCTCCACTCACAGGTCCCACATAGAGGGAGAAAGTGAACGGGAGAAAGGAACCCAGCATTTCAGCCCTCTTATAGCATGCCCATGCAGGCCTCATGCCAACAGGGTTCCTAGTCATACCATCTGCTCTGATTCCCACAAAACCCCCTAAGTACAGACATCAAAATTCATCTCCATTTTGCAGATGAGGAAACCAAGGCCCAGATAGTTGCAATGACTTGGTTACATGTCTAGTAAAAAAGCTAGGACCCTGGACTTTCACTGCTGTCCTGAAGATTACACTATACAATCAAGGTTTTAATGAAAAGGCCAAGACCACCACCCCATAAGGAAGGGAGATCTGGTGCAGCACATGAAAAGGAAAAGGCATGGGTTCTGGCATCAACATGCCACTGACTTAACTCTACTCACTGTATCATCCTGATGAAGGTACCTAAGCTCTCTAAGCCTGCTTTCTTTCATTTGGAACTGGAGATACCAATACCTATTCTACGTGCTTTTGATGGGCATTAAAGCATAGATGTGTATAGAGCACCCAGCAAAGCACCAGACACACAGCAATTATCAACAAATCTTGGCCTCCCTCCCTTTCCCTGTGTCCCTCAACCCCAGTACCTCCCCACCCTTCAAGTCTGGGTGAGGAGTGGCAGCCTAAGGCAGCACTGAGCCACACAGCATGAGAACGTAGGCAATGAGTCAGGCCTGCAATAACTGAGCATACCTGTGGGTGCCAGGGCCACTGAGCTGCCAACTGCTGCAACAAAAGCACACATCCCACCCTGGAGGATTAGACCTGGCATTACCTGCGGACGGCTGGCTGGCTGATTAGTTCAGTGCCTGCAATTAGGAGTCTCTGGAACCACATCCAGGTACAAATCACAGGACTGGTTTCAAAGTCAATTACTCCTGAGTCCAGACTTTTCTCCTGGCACCTCCTGGCAGGCATCACTCATCTCTCAGGCAGCAGAGGCCTCCTATGTATCACCACATGTAGTATGTCCCAGCATGTTCACACATCCCCTGATGAACCAACTTGCAGAACATTTCCAAACAGCCTGAGAAATACAGTTGAGAACTTTAGCTAAAGATTTTCATGAAAGTGTTCAGCCTCCATAGGCTGTGAGCCCACCATGGTCCAGGCCCTGTCTGGGTACCAAAGATCCAGAAATGAAGTAGTCATCATACACAGTCCCTCCATATCCAGCTGCTCTCTCCACTCATACCAAGGCCTCTACCTTATGCCCAGCCACATCAAATTCTAACAAGTACCAGACATTCGGAACCATTTCCCATCTCCTAGCCATTAATCCTGCAGGTGTCTAGACTCCTATCCTCTCTCCACCTAAATCCCCAAACGTCCATCTTTCCAGACTCAGCTACAGCAAGCCCGTCCTGAGCCCTCACCCAAACCTTCACCAGAAAGTGATGACTCCACCTTCCTGAGCATCTTCATCACACATTCCACTTATCCTTGGTTTTAGTATGTCTTCCAACTAGAACAGGAACTCCCTGAGGGCAGAGCTAGAGCTGACCCAAAGCTGGGGCTACAGCTCTTCAATGCCCTATATCCCAGAGGGTTTGAAACACCAGAAGACAAAAGAAAAGAAAACCTTCTGCTCCTCCAGGGGGCAGGCATTTAAGGCACTGCCCAAAAATGCTCACTGGCATTCCACTTGAACATAGCAATTATGCGCACATAGCAGCCCTATCAATGCACCCATTCCCTACAATAACCTCAGTCATCTAGAGGCTGCAGTTCAAAAACCTAATTTGTTTCAGCTCCTAATGACAGAGCTTTTTAGTATTCTTAATTATGAAAATTATAATTGGAAAAAAGCCCCAGCAGTTTGGAAGCAGACTAAACACCTTACGATAACAAAATTCTTAAATATATTTATGGTACACTCTAATGAGTCTTGAAAACTGTTTATAAAAGGCTTACAGTCCTAAGATGATGCTCATGACAATAAAAAATGAAGGATATATAACTGCACACATTATGCTCTAGGGCAGGTGGGTGTGCCATTTACTCAGCACCTACTATGTAGAATGTACTCTGCTTGGTGCTTTTGTCATCCAGTTCTTTCAACCCTCAACTGCCCTCAAAAGTAGAAATTATACCCATTTTACAGAAGAGGAAACTGAGGTCAAAAGAAATTAAGAATTTACCCAAAGTGAGATGGCCAGTCTGTGACACCATATTCTTTCTACTTTATATAAAATAATTTTTTAAAAGCCAGAGGAACAACTATGAAATGTTAATAGGAGTGATGGAATTATAGAACTTTATTTATTGCTTTCTGCACCTGCAAATGTCCTACGATGGCCATATTACTTTTTAGGATCAAACCAATTTTTTTAAAGTATCAACAACTTTGGCCACACACATACACACACAAGACCCTGCTTTCCTTTGCATTCTCTCATTGATTTAGCTGCAAATCAGTCCACAGCACTGTGGCTCTGAGGCAAAGTAATGCTACCACCCTACCAGAGAGGCATTTTCATACAAAAGAGTTTTATGTGTTCAAGAGTGTTTCTATTCTCAGAGGATTTAGAAAAGCTTTAGGACAAGATTTGAGCTGGCATAAGAACCTAAGTGAAAATCATCCTGGCCTAATTGTGGGGCTTTGGGTGGACAGATCTCACTACAGCTTTGTCATGGAAAGAAGGCCCCGGGTGTGGTTTTTAAACCAGTACTCAGAGTGAGTGACTGTCAACTTGCCAACATGTGGGGGAGAACCCATTTCATCCCTCCAATGCCCAGTAAAATACCTAACAGCTTGGCCCAAATCTGAGCTTGACAGTTCACTGTTCTCCCAGTGTCTATCTTGACTGTTATCCTGAGTGAAGACGACCTGTCAGACCTCTCCCATCGGCTCACACTCTGTGCTCCACTCAGTCTCCTGTGTGCTCAGTGACTTTGAGACAGTCACCTCCCCTTCTCCAGACTCTACTACTCAGACAGTTAAAGGGTTTTCCAGCCTTTCATAAGCAGAACCCTTTTCCAAATGTGATTGTATGTTGCCCATCAATACGTAAAACACAGAAATGTGGGGTTCTCTTTTTGATACAGAGGTGGCCTCTGTTCCTACTTTCTGAGAGGCCTAGGAAGCTCTTTTGCAGAACAGAAGAGTTCTGAGGAGCATGGATTGGAAACCAGTGAAACCAAGTGACTTCAAGTCCTATTTTCTAAGCTGCCTCACTTTCGGCCCCTTTCCAGGCAGCATGGCCTGAAACTCCACACCCCACCAACTGACATGGTGAGCATGACCTGTAACTAGAGCACGACCTTCAAAGACTTATAGGACAGCTCACCACCCAGGCACTGTCAGGAAGCCTTCCCACAGACCAGAGAAGGTCGATTCCTACATATAAACGCATCAAAGAATTGTTCTATTTTACTAGAAATGTTGCTTTTAATACAAATTAAAGACAACAGAATATTATTTTTTGCGTATCAAAGTAGTAAAAATAACTTAATTTCAATATTCAGTGCTGGCAACAGTATACTGAGACTTCATACTGCTGGGAAGGATAAAACTTTTCCAGAAAACAGTTGGGTAATATGTATCAAGAGGTTTAAAAATGTTTACTTGCTTTGACCCAATAATTAAGAATCTAGCTAAGGAGATTATAGAAAAACTTCAATATAAAAATGTTTGGTATAGCACTATTTTAATTAGGTAAAAGAGAAGCATAAAGAAAATGCAACAGAAATGGGCCAAAGTGTTAACAATGGCTGCCTTTGGCCAGCGAAACTGTAGAAGACCTCGTCTGACCTACTTATACATCTGAACTTTTCACATTTTCTAAAGTGAGAAAGTATAACTTCTGTTATCAGAAACAAATCTCTTTAAAATGCCCAATGCTTCTAAAAGATTATAAATATAAGCCACACCACCACACTACCACACCACCCCATTACCTACCATCATTACTTTAAATGACTGCTACTATCCCAGTGGGATTTCAATAATAACAGGCTTGGTCAAAGTGCCATAGAATCTCCTTGCCAAGAGACATCTCCCCATCCCTGAGTTCCAAGAAAATGCTTAAATCAGATCATTTAGGTGCATAAACTATTAATAATAAGCGAGCACTTCAAGATGGACCTTTTGTTTTGAATACAGGTGGCTCGATCCAGTGCCACCCAGAACTTACTAGGTTTCTGAGACACAAGAAAACTAACACATGATTTGTTCCTTGCACAATGGGCTGCTGGAAGGGAAGTGACAGCTCCGCTTCCGGTTGATGCCTGCCTTGAGCTCTCCAGGGACAGGTCAGAGTAGAACCTTCCGAACAGGGTTCAGAAAGCCACAAGGTGGCCAGGGGGCAAGCCCCAGCAACCTATGATTTCCTTCTGGGCAACCTCCTCTACTAGCACCAAGAACCTGCTGCTCCTCTGCCAAGAGCAGCTTGATCATCTGCAGTAATAACAGCAATGGCTGCCAACCAAGAACTTACTACGCACCAGGCACTGTGCTTATTACCTTATGAGCATTCGCTTTAATCTTCACAATCCTGGGGGGCAGGTATTATCTGTTTTATAAATGGGAAAAGTGAGGCAAAAGAAGATAAGCTACTTGTCCAAGAATACGCAGGTATAAGTAAACCCAGATCTGTTTCCTAAGTCCACCAAAGACAGAGAGATAAACTGATGCTAGACAAATAGGCCAGATGTGTTTTTCTTGGCCTACACAGTTCTCCATTTTTTTTTTAAATTGAGCTGAAGTTTAAAAGTTGGAATATTCACCATTTTTTAAAAATCCAGATTTACAGCTTCTTGAAAATTAGAAAAGCTGGAAATCTTTGCAGGCCGGATCTATATTCATTATTTATCCAGAAACAATCAGTGGAGTGGGTACACACTCTCCAAGTTACCAGTTACCGTGACTCCCCACAGCAGGAGTCGGCAAACTTTTCCTGTAAAGGGCCAGAAACTTATTTTAGGCTTTGCAGAACACAGGGTGTCTGTTGCAAACTAAACAACTCTGGCACTGTAACGCAAAAACAGCCACAGACAATGTGTAAACTGGAGTGGTTGTGTTCCAATAAAACTTTATTAACAAAAACAGGAAGTAGGCTGGATTTTGCCCATGCGCCATGGCACATCAAGCCATGCCCTATTGCCTACCCAATATCTACTAGTGTGTTGCCACTGTCCTGTAGCTGAGAAATACTTTTCTATCAAAAAGTAGGAGAGCGCCTATGTCTCCGGCTAGCCTCCTCAAGGACATTTCCCAGCCCTCTACCCACATGTCAGTCTTTGCCCAACACCTGATGATGAAATATAGCAACCAACAGCACAGCAGGTAGCATGTTGTCAAGGCCATCCCAGAAACCTTGACTACTTTCCAGAACCACACCAGGTGTTAACACCTTTCCCTGCATCAGGAAATCAGGTCCTGGCCTCCCTCTCTATACTTCCCCTGGACCCTCTTATCTGTTCCCACGGCTTCAATAATCCCATGCATGCAGATCATTCAAATGTGTTTTCAGATGCTCTGCCTGAGCCCCTCAAGCGCTCTGCTCTAGCCATCAGGAACTCAGGAGAGGACCCAGAATAAGCCAGGCTGTTTCTTACCCTTCGGTTCCCATTGAGAGTGACCACCCTACCTGTCCACTTAATTTCCAGCCTGAGGCTCCCTACATTGTGAAATCATTCCTATATCTGCTTCTGCCCCACAGGGAGAAGTGGCCATGTAATCAATGTCCACGTAACATCTCAGTGCAATTATCTACCTGTCCCCTACACTACAACATAGGCTCCTTCGAGCCAAAGATACGGTCAGGATTTTTTAAAATAAGCCAAAGAATACTTACTATAAATGAAAAAAGACATTTCACTGTATTAAAATTAAGAATGGCCATTCAATAAAAGATGCCTTAAAGAAAAGTAGGTTACAAGCTAAAAGGAAATATCTGCAACATGCATAAAGGATTAAAATCAAAAAAATATAAAAACTCCTACAAATCAATAATAACAATGACAATGCACCAAAAACCCCACAGAAAAATTAGCAAAAGATATGAACAAGTATTTAACAGGAAACACATATGCCAATAAACTTACGAAGAGATGTTCAACATCAGGGCTCAGGGACATAGAAATCAAGATCCCAAAGATCCCATTTTATACCCATTCAATTGGCAAAATAAAAAGTGTCTGCCTACACCAAGTGTTGGCAAGAATGTGGAGCAACTGGAAACCCCGTGCACTGCTGCTGATGGTACAAATACTACAGGAAACAGTCTGGCAACATCTACAAAAATTGAACACATATTGACCCGGTGACCCAGCAAAATTCACCCTTAAATTGACACCCAAGAAAATCTCTTGCATATGTATGTACAACAGGAGATGTGTATGCAAATGCTCAGAGAAGCACATTTGCAACAGCTAAAACCTAGAAAGAACTAAGTGCCCATCAATGGAAGAACAGATACATAAACTGTGTTGTGTTCAAACCATGGAATTAGTAAAAACAAATGAACCAGATGACATGCAATAATATGAATAAATCTCAGCAAAATATTTTTTACTTTCTGTAGAAATACACAAATAAAACAAAACTATATAAAAATGAAAGCGAGAGGATAATGGTTATCTCAGTATGGAAACATGAAGAAAGAGCATGATTAGATGTATACGTTTGTTTCAAGCTCCAAGCTTTTGTTTTGGGTGGCTGGAATATAGAAGGTCACTACGTTCTTTAAAAATAACAGTACATACACCATGATCAAGTGGGATTTATTCCTGGAATGCAAGGCTGGTTCAATATCTGCAAATCAATGGACATAATATACCACATTAAAAAAATGAATAATAAAAATCATATCATGTCAATAGATGTAGAAAAATTATTTGACAAAATCTAGCATCCATTTATGATAAAAAAAAATAACTTAGTAAAGAAATGTAAGCAAATCATGCATGAACAGTGATGAATGTATATTAATATCTAGTTCTCCGCTTACCTGAGGTAAAAACTAATAAAAACACACAAGGGACTGTTTATCTTTGTATCTGAATTACAAAGTACAAGCCCTGGCACACGTTTCTATAAGCATGTGTGGAATGAATGAGACTTTTCTCACTAGCCCATGGCCTCCTTCTTGGCACCTTAGCTACCTTCAACATGTCTGAAACCCAACTCACCTTCCTTCCTTTCTCTTTTTCCTCCTGGATTCCCTGGCTCCACTCTGCCCCAGGCAGTTAGGATAAAAACCTGGAGTCTTGCACCTCCTCAAACTCATCCCTAACTGTCCCACAGCTGCCATGGCTTGTTCTCTCCTCCCTCCTCAGCCTCCACTGCCGGAAACTGGTTAGGACTGTTATGCCTCTCAGCTTGATAAGTATTCTCTCCCAACTAGCTTCCCCAACTCTTGTCTCTTCTAGTTCACCTCAGAGACAAGTGCACAACTGAGCTTTCTGAAGTATACCTCTGATTCTGTCTCTTCCACACCTTCCCTGGATTTCTGAAATAAAGTTCAAGTTTTTGTGTTGACACTGAAAGCTCATCACAGTCTGGTTCCTCCCTATCAACAGTATTTGCAGTTCACTTCCCTTCCATATTCTCCTTCATCTACACCTCCCCCTCCTTAACCCCTCCCAAAGTGTTTAAATGATGATCTGCTACCTCCATATACATCCAGTTTCTCCACCTCAGCTCTACACAGAATCTCATTCACTTGGCCACCTATTCTCACCTGACCCTATTTTCAAGGCCCCATTTAAACAGCACCTCCATGGTGTCTTGATGTGCCCAACTGAAAAAAAAAAACACCCTTTTATCAACTTCCACAGCTTTCTGTGCTTTACAGTTAATTCTCTATGTCCATCAACAAGAGTATGAGCAAGCAGAGGGCAAAATCTCATGTCTACCACCTCTCTACCAGAAACTGGCATGGTGTAAGAAAAGTCACAAAGAGAATAATCTAATCTAATCCACTGCACTTTCCAGCCAGTGTGCTCATTTAAAATGCCCCTCATGGAATTTTACTAAAATTCTTTTGCTCCCCAGAGCCTTGGAATGGCCCACAAAACTCTCCACACTCAGCTTTCTGCCCACCTTTCTAGCGTCCTCTACCCCACACCCATCCCTTGTTGCTCCAGCCATACTGAGATACTTAACAGTGGCCCAGACATACCGGGTAGCTTTAAACTTTGCATATGCCAACTCCTCTGCCAGGTTACTGCACCTACTTCTAAGCCCTACTCCTTCACAACTCACCTTGGATATCACCTTCCAACCTCCCCTCCTACCTCTTCTTGGATGAGCGGTGGCTCTGCCCTGTGACTTCCCCTCCTTAACACGTTTCACACCGACAACACCTTATGTCTACAGTTTGTCTGTCTTTTCCACCAAAAAACACAAGTCCCAGAAGACAGAACTCTTATTGTTCCTCACTGTTAAGCAACGGAGGCACCCAGTAAAGATTCATGTCATAAAAGAAATAAAAATTTCCGATGCAAATACAGAAATCGCGATTTGTGTCCTTCAACTCATAAAACATTTCTTAGAGCACAAACCCTCTAAGACTGGTTAAACAGGAGAAGCCACTGGCATGAAGCCACTTGAATTTGAGAGTTGGCAATCAACAATCTACTCCTAGGGCTCACTCTCATCCTGCAGACCTCAAATTCTACCTTTCTCAGTCCCCACCTTCTCTCCTGAAAAGCATATTGAGAAGACAGCAATGTAAAGTCCTCATGGCTCTCACCTTTTCTCTCTGGAGAGCTGGCACAAACTGTCTTTTCTTGATGGAGATACCAGATCCTTAAGAGGAATGACTTGGTTGAGTTCCCATCTTGATAAAAAATGCAAACAACAAAAACCAGGCAAATCTGAAAGTCTTGCTGACTCAGCAACACAAATTCCAAGGCACCTTTGCCAACAAGGAAAGAAATGATCAGGTTTTACATTGAGAAACAGCAGTTAGTGAAAACCAATGCACAGATGTCAGGTCCGTGTGCTGTGGCTGGAAGCTGGAAACCACCAGATTTATTTTTCAACAGCCTGGGAAGAGCATAAGGTACAGGAGTCTTCTTTTGCCCACTCAATAATCAAGGAGATAGTAAAAAAAAAACCCTGAGCCCTTTCAAACTAAAGCCCAAAAGGACTTTATAAGCCAGTCTGCACCACAGGCATCCAGGAACTCAACACACAAGAGAGTAAAAGTTTGGCTAAGGTCACACAGAAATGTTGAACAAGAGGCCGAGTTATAATTACCCTGGTGGTTTAAATAGATTCTAATTTTAGCTATCAGAAAGTCCACCTTCTGGAACTATAGAGGGGCTGGGATGGCATGCAGAAATATTTTGCGTTTCTTAGGGTCTAAGCGTCTGTGAACAAGCACACTAGCTCCACTGCTACTGGCACTAAGGGAAGTGGAACCAGTGCGGAAGATCTAGCTGGCTGAGAAAAGCGAGATGAAAGGGCAACTCCAAAAAAAGTCTCCTAAGCCCTCTTCAGCATACATTATACACCCCGCAAAAGTAACCCAGGGTCTCTGGAAACAGAAGTTTCCTGGAAGGCAGACCCGACTTGAGACAGGGAAGTAGAATCAGGAGCTGTCCTCTAAAGTACAGCTCCTGCTCCAGTGAATCGTTCCCTGGGAGGCAGACCCCAACAGAACCCACACATTAACCAGGCAGCCCAGTGGCAATATCACCATGGCTTCCTCCAGGTCTTGTGGGAAGGGGTCCACTCCTCTTGACCGACCTAAACTCCTAGGGTCTGTGCCCCTCCCCCCTGCTAGCCCTTCGGCTTCCACCCTGGCTTTTACCCTCTCACCCAGCACTCAGTTCTGTCCTAAGCTCCCAGCACCTCCCAATTCCCTCAACTCTCACCTCCAGGACCTCCAGTCTGGAGACTAGTCTTCTCAATCCCTCCCGGACCTCACCCTGGGACTCTTCTCCGGCCGGGCCCAGCCCTCCCTCACTCCCACGCCCGCCCCCTTCCGGTCCCAGCTCAGCTTGGTTTACCCCGCGCCCTGGGGACCCTATCCCTGGCGACCGGCAGATAGCCTGCCCGTCCCCTCTCACCGAGGCAGAGGAAGGCGAGGGGGCAGGCTGAGGGCACCGCCGTGCTCCGGCTGCAGCTCCAGCTCGGCCTGGGTACGACTCCGGCTGCGGTTCTGACTCTGAGGAGGAGACAGCCGGAGTGAAACTCCGCGTCGCAGCTTCCTTGCTCTCCAGTGCGCATGCCCAGGGCGCGGGGCCTTCTGGGAAATGTAGTTCGGGCGGGGGCGGGGCCGAACGCGATGCGCACCTGTTCAGGTGCATCTAGTCTTCCTCCTTAATCTGTTCACTCACTGACTTACTCCTTCATTAACTTACTGATTGGCTTTACATGGTTTTTACCGGTACATATATGGTTCCACGCCTTGTCCTGGGTACTGGGAATTAATAGGTCAATCGGAAACTTGGTTTCTCTCTTGGAAGAACTACGTATCTAGCTGGGGATACGGACACTTAAACACACAATTGCAATATAGTGGAGTAAATGTTGTGCTAAAGGAATGGGAGCATAGAAGGGTGCACCTAATTTAGGGGCTGGATCAGGAAGACATCACAGAGGGCGACGCCTGAGTTGGATTTTCAACCTCTCATAGGGATTTGCCAGATGGAATACTGGGAAGCTCATGCAGAGAAAGAGAGATGTGAAAGTGCCTGACGCATTCAGGAAGCAGTAAAATGTTCCTTGTGGTCAGGGCAGAGGGTACATGGATGGGGTGAGGACAGAGAAATGGGTTAGGGTGTGGCAGGATATGAGTATGGGGAGAAGGATGGGTAAGATTATTATGGACTTTAAATGCTGTGCAAGGAATTTAGGCAACTGGAACCAATGGAAGGATTTAAGGAGGGGAATGACAGAGGCAGCATTGAACTTGAGAAGGATACCCTGTGTGGTGGGTGGAGGATAGATTGAACGGAAAGAGAAAAGAGTGGGGAGACCACTTTGGAGGCTGTTGCTGTAGTCCAGCTCAAAGGTGATGAGGCCTAACCAGGCTGGTGACTAACCTTTTGAGATCACGGACCTCCTTTACAAATCTAAAGAAAACTATTCCCAGAAAAATGCTCAAATGTCAATGTTCACATATGTGTACATACATTTTGCATAGTTTCAGGGATACAGAATCCTTTGAATCTTGGTTAAGTATTTCTACATAATCTAATGTCACTCATACTTTATCAAGGATTTGAGGAAGATTCAGACTGCTGGGGATGGAAGAAGAGACTTCCCCCATCATTCAGTTCAAAATTTTCATTTTATAGAAAACCGAGGCCCGGAGAGGGGGAGTAACCTACTCAAAGTTAGTAGTGAAGGAGAAGGAACACCTGTAGCAAGCCAAACCTCTGGTATCCCAGTCCAGGACTCCACCACCTGGGAGCTTAGAGGACACAGGCCTTGAGCCTATGGAAGCACCAAAGTCAAGTTCTCCCAATTATTCCCAGAGCCAGATCTCCATCAGGAAATGAAGGGTAGCATTTTACCTGTGATTTATGCTAGTTGGCTGCAGTGGCTACAGCTGAGAATGAGAACAATTCCCTTCCCCTGTTTTCTCAGCCATAACCATCTACAATATTTCTTAAGCACTTAGTATGTGCCAAGCATTTGACATACATCACTTCACTGAATTCCCTCAATGAGATGGATATTATTGTTATCCCCATTTTAAAGATCAGGACATTGGGGGCACTGAGTTTAAACAATGTATTTAAGGTCACACATTGGCAACTGGCAGAGCTCATCTATAAATTGAGGTAGTGTCTAACTCCAGATTTTAGCACCCCCATATGACTGGCCTCACTGGGGGAGGGGTGCAGGTAACATGGTCTTGATATAGGACAGGACAAATTTCCCCTAGTGGGGGCGGGGGGATGGGTCGGGGAGAGACCAAGCCCTGTATCAAGAAAAGAGTGTTCTTTGGCGGAGAGCATGGAAAGAATTCAACAGACATGTCAAAGTTAGAGTCAAAAGTAAAGTTTATTAGAAAAGGGGTAACACTCCACAGATATGGTCTCTTTCAGAGGAAGAGAGAGGGATGGGTGAGACAGTGAGAGACAGATTAAAAGCACTGAGAGGGACCCTGAGTATTTGAGGAATTCAGTTTATGTATCATTCTTTAGTTCCTGTGAGTTATGGTTTAAAATACTTTGTTAACTCATTTCCTTTAATATGGACATACAGTGAGAAAGGGGAAGAATATGTAGAATGAAAGAACTGCTGGCAGTTCCCAGCCTTTGATCCATAGGTTCTCCATGGTTTTAACCATAGAGAATGACTCCTGGTTCCTGTTTCCCCTTCACAAGTGTGGGAAATGGGTCGTTAGCAATCTCAGCAGAAATCTTTCTTTATTCTGAAGGTGTCCTCCTGGCCTGGCTGCAGGGCCGATCAGCATGTTGCAGTCTCCGAATGTGGCTTGATTAACATTTTTAATTCTCTCGACTCCTTGCATTAGTCTGAAGCATTAGAAAAGTCATTCAACATTCAAAAGATATTTTCTTAAGTGCTTCTGATGCAGGACAGGGCAAATTTCCCCAAGTGGGGGTGGGGGGGTGGGGGCTGGGAGACAAAGCCCTGCACTGAGAGAAAAGAGGGTCCTTTGGCAGAGAATGTAGGAAGAATTCAACACACACACCAGAGTTAGAGTCAAAAGGAAAGTTTATTAGAAAAGGGGCAGCACTCCACAGATTATGGTCTCCTCTCAGGCAGAGAGCGAGAGAGCCTAAGAGAGATGAGGATACTGAGAGACGGAGTAAAGAATACTGAGAGAAAGTCACTGAGAGGGACATTTTCGGTAATTCAGTTTATATATCATTCTTTAGTTCCTCTGAGTTACAGTTTAAAGATTTTGTTTACCCATCTCCTTTGATATGGGCATACACTGAGGAAAGGAAAGGGAAAGATTATGTAGTGTGAAAAGGTAAGGATATGTAGAGTGAAAGGCCTGCTGGCAGTTCCCAGCCTTTATTCCATAGGTTCCCCGTGGCTTTAGCCATAGGAAATGAATGATTTTGTGTAGGGCAGCCACTTAAAGACTGTTTTTCCTGTTTCCCCTTCATAGGTGCGGGAAGTAAATTGTACATAATCCCAGCAGAAATCTTCCTTTGTTCTGCAGGTGTCTTTGTGGCCTGGCTGTAGTCTCTAAATGTAGCTTGATTTAACATTTTAATTCTTTCCTCCTCCCCACATTACTCCTTCCTCCTCAGTAAAACACAGGATAGTTATTGTCCAAAAACCCCACTGCACACACACCTAGAGACTCCAACAGATAGAATGGTGGGAGAATGGTCTGGAAAGTTTCTGGAATTAGAGCTGTGGAGAGGGGAAGACCTCTAATCCCAGAGAGCTGGAGAAGCTGGGGAGCTCTGGGGGAGGCTTGCTAGGACTGCCAAGGTTGAAACTAATGTGGGATCCAGGGGGGAGGCCAGGGTAGAAAAGTTCCACGGAGGCAGGAAGGACACAGCCTGGAAGACCGGGTGCATGGGAGTACTCTGTGAGGTAGAGAACACTAGAAAAGGGGAGCAATCAACAAGTTGAGTGTGAGTAGGGGGAAAGGGAAGAACAGCCAGATGTGAGGCCCTGGAGAGATCTGGCCTAGAGATAGGGATTTTGGAATTGCCTGCAATGACACTGAGATCACCTGGAAAGCCCACCAAAGATGAAAAAAGGTGAGTCCAGGGCTACAGAACACTGGCCTTTGAAGAACAAGTGTCTGTGGAAAGCTGGATTAGGGGACACTGGGTGAGCATGATGACAGAGAACCAAGGGAAGTGTCCTGTGAAGGTGGAGCTCAGTGGTGACAGATACTCCTGAAAGGCCCCATAGGCTGGTTCCCTGGGAGAGCAGCCTACCTCAGAACTCAGGACTCCTGCCTTCCAGTTCTGGGCTCTTATCTTTCGATCTGCCAACTGACTTCAAGAAATTTCCCAAAATTCTGACCTTGCTACAGGGAAGCCATTGGTGACCACAGAGTGGTTTCCATTGAGAGGTAGGAGCGGGAGCAAATGTGTCTGTGGTCATCACAAAGGTCAGGAGTATGGACAGCTCTTCTAAGAACAATCTTTGTGTTCCACACACTGGGGGACAGGGGTGGAGTGGGCAGCAGAGGATAAATCCACTCGTGTGGAATGATGCCGCTTACATAAGATCACCCATGGCTATGTGAGCCTAAAAGAACACAAGCCAACACAGTAACATCCAAGAGGTGGGTTAGCAGGTGATTTTCCCTTTCTTTGTTCTTGGATCATTTGAGTGTGTCCCAATGAATAGTTTCCACTTTCATAACCTGAAAAAAAAAAAGCTATATTTGGGGAAAATAAGAGTTCTGGTCATGAAAAGCAGAAAAATAGGGCAGCAGCAAAAGGGAGAATGGATGACATAGACTTCTGGTTTTTAGGCAAGGGTGAGTGAGTGTGCTGTGTCCTGAGGCTGCAGCAGGATGTCCCTCAGGAAACTGGAAATGAGGAAAACAGGATTGGCCAGCTGCAAACTGAACTTTAGACCAATATACATAGCAAAGGATTAGAAACAACTGCACAGCAGAAGCGGGCTGGTTAAATAACCCCAGAATGCTAGGTAGAAAGACTAAGGAAGACTCACAGATCTACTAAGTAAAAAATGTAAGAGTCTTTCAGAGCAGAGGGCAGAATAGAATGTGCATCTGTTTGTCTGTGGGAGTGTGTATGTTTTTGTTTTATTTTGTTCTGTTTTTTTAATGCACGCACAGCCTTATGGGCATAAAAGTTTCCGGGAGGAAGCCTAAAATGCTTCAAGAAGATAGGGGATGAGCTGAGGATTTTTACTTACTCATGCTATTTTTTTATATTAGAAAAATGTGAGAATGCATGTACAAGTTAGCGTGCGAGCACACACACACACACAGTAGGATGGGTTAGGTTTGCTCTGCACAGAGGCATGAAGCCTAAGGGGAATTGGGAGCTGAAACCTTCCTGGCAGGGGCTCTTTGTCCTAAACTGTCTGCCCAGAGGGGCAGTCTTTTTTTTTTTTTTTTTAAGTCTCAAAGGCTGGAGCTTGTGCTGCCCTGGGGCCTCCCCAAACAACTGAAAATGAATGACATGGCCCAATAAGGAATGTGGCTGTTGGCCATGGAATGGGGAGTGGTGGTGGCCATAGAAACTCAGATTTTAAAAAAGTCCTTAAACTTCACTTCAGGTGTCGGGGTTTAGTGCTTTCGAAGGCTTCAACCCTGGAACCAGGGTCACGCTGGTACAAGAATGGATCAATGTAAACCTGGGAAAAGGTCCGACACTGGGCCCCAGCGCTGAGGGGCCAGAGCACTTTGATGCTTTGCTTGGAAAGGCAGAATTTTGTTGCTTGGTGCCTCAGCTAATTGGCCTCTCTTGGACACTCTGGAGGGATTGTCTGATTAGAAGCCACAGCTGCTTTGCTCATTATTTCTATTTAACAGCACCTGGCATCGCTGGGCGATGGTGCCCACTTAAGACCCAGGTGTGACCTACACAGCCAACAAAACTGCAATGGCTTTGCAGCCTTGAGAAGTGAAGCAGTAAGCATCTTCTTACGTAAGTCCTGGCCCGTGGAACATGTTTTGAACTGACTCGTCCTTGCTAGTTCCCCTGCTGCAAATCTGAAATAACTGATGTAACCTCAGTGAATTCATCTGAGTTTGTTTTAACACGAAACAATCACACTTGACCTGTAACCCCCAGATACTGTTCTAGTTGTAATACTCTGACACCCTAGTTTGGGATCTAGAGTTTCTCAAGAGAAAGGATCAGTTGTAGTGTGTGGACAAGCCAGGTTTCTTAGCCTAAAGGCTGAGGTCGTCGACAGCCATACCACCCTGAACAAGCCCGATCCCGGCTGATCTTGGAAGCTAAGCACGGTCGGGCCTGGTTAGTACTCGGTTGGGAGACCACCTAGGAAGATCAGGTGCTGTAGGTGTTAAAAAAAACAAGGGATTGTAAGCTGACAAGGTTCTCGCAATCTGTAAGGTCAACCAAAGTTTGCCTCCCCTAAAAAAAAAAAAAAAAAAAGGCTGAGGGCAAGAAGCCTTTCAGGAGACAGTTATTTTTCTGGTGGTATTCAACCTCCCCGTGAAAACTTCCATTAGCCCTTAGGAGCTGCTTAGAATCCATTGTTAAAAATACCTGATAAATCTAACACCTGTCAGGAAAAATTGTGAGAGACTTTGAAATGGGCAAAAAGATTACTGGTGTTCTTCAGCACCCATTCAGATTATCTGATTCCATAAGAGTCTGCCTTTACTCGCTTTGGAAAACCGATAGTAATGCAAATGGTTGCAAATGACTTGTCCTTAGAAATGCAATCAATTTTTGCCCTGTGGAAGAAGCCATTTGTGCATCTATCAGCAAATTTCCTAATTACCTTTATATAAATCTGTTCTTTGCATTATTCTTTGAACCAGTGTTTTAGATCTTAGTTTCCCTCAATGAATGAGTTAAAACTAGATCTTCGACACATTTTTGTTCTGTATTTGTATAATCATGACTATACTTTTTCCTCCATTGTCCTTTAACATACTTCATCTCTTTTTCCCCTGGCTACCAGAAAGCATCACAAACGCAAAGTTTTAACCCCACAGAGTGTTGATCCACTGGGAGCTTCACAGGTTATAACAGGTAGCTAGCTGCCTCAAACACCAGGGAAAGAAAGTGGCTATAAACAACAGAAATCAAAGCAATTCTCAGCCCTCTGCCGTGACCCTAACTACTCAAGTTCAACGCTGAGGTTGGAAGGCAGGGCCCTCTGACATTATGCTAGAGGCTATTTCTTGGGCCTTCCCTGGATCCAGCTTCATACTGAGCTGAGGCCCATCTGGAACTGGCTAGGAATGATTTTCAGGGTCACTTCCTAATCACACTTCCTCCCCACACCAGACACAACCACTACCTCTTTCTGAGGACAGAAGTTGAATGAGAGATGAGTTCTCACGGGGTTGCAATACCCGAGATCATTAGGGGAAATATGATCCCCAGGGTATGCTAGGAGTAGCCTTTTGCTCAAAGAACAGCTTGAACCGAACACATGTTAGACGCCAAGTATCACAATCCTCACTGCTAACCCCGAAGTTGAGAACTTCATCTGAAACAGGATGCTGCTAAGTAGGAGGAAATAGGCTCAATCAGGAGTAGAACTGGGTGGTTGTGAGACAGGCCACAACCAAAGAGTCCTGCTGTATGAACTAGGATCCTACCACGTGTTCTATTCACCCAACCTCTAGACATTCCCACTATTCCCATTCTACAGATGAAGTGACTTACCAAGCCAACAGTGGCAGAGAGCCAGGATGGATTTCTATCAATCTTCAGTTGATGTTCCTGAAAGGGATAATCCATCCATGGCACTCAGCCCTTTAGTGGCTCCTTTCCACCTTATCAGCCTATAAGGCCTCCCTCTCTACTCCATCCTTACTGGACATCTAGGTACTTCACTCATCCAGGGCACAGGTTCTCCCCATTCTCTTCTCCTGCCCCATCTGATATGAGAAACGTAAAGAAATCTAAGATGGCTACCCTGTGCCGGAGGAATTTTTCCAAACTCCTCTCCCTGGAACCCTACCTTTCCCGCACGCGAAACAAAAGACCTCCAAGTATGTGGAAGTAATCAATGTATAAATCTACCTGCCTGCCTTTGTTAGGGGCTCAGACTTTGGCGAGTGAGTCCTCTGAGCCCACTGGCGTAAATAAACCTCCTTTGATTCTTAGTTCACTGAGTGCCGCTTGGTTCTTCCAGGTACACGGGCCAAAATCCGCAATACATCCACCATCCTCATTTTGCCCAGCTAGGACCTGCTAGTATCACTGACTCTAGGAAGCTTGCTCTCCCTATTCTTAGTCTTTTAATCCCTTAAGCAGCACACCACAATGTGCCTGGGGGGCATGATTTTCTTGATGCAAATCCCATGACCCAGGGCACTTCGATACACCTGAATCTCCTGGAGATGTTAAGATGCAGATTCTTAGGTCTGAGGTGATGCCAGTGGAGTTCATAGACCACACTTGTAATGTAGGGAAGAGGCATGAGAACTAAGTGTTAAATCAAGCTACATAAGAGACTACAATGTGCTGATCAACCCTACTGGCCA